GATCATTATGGTCGGGGGAGAATGGTACAGCCGGGAGTGATCAGGGAAAGAGGTCGGCACTCTACCCTCAAAAAAAAAAAAAAAAAGCACGTGCAATTAAACTGCTTTGTCACCCTTGGAATTGGATCTTTTGTCTCGCTGCTGAAGATGACGAGGACGTGGCGATTATGTAAATGTCCCTAGTTCTATGATATCAGTTCTTAGCTCTACACTCAGCACTGTATGTGTATGTATGTCAATCATTTCGTCCGGTTGTGTATAAGAACTCCCTGCTGGCTACTCATCTTCTCCGTCTTCCCTCGGATTACTATCTCCAGTCGTACTTTGGCATCCAATAATTTTCCACAACATATCCTAACGTGGCTAACATTATCTTGTTTTTTTACGACAGCTATTTTGTTATACTTATGTACATGACCTTCTCTCACAAAGCTCTGACTGTTCAGCAAAGAGAAAACAATAAAACAATTCAAGAAAAATAAAACATTGAATTCATCAATAAAATAATAATATGTTGAAAAATGCGCATATGCACCAGTAGAGAATACCAACCACTAGAAAACATTTTTGTAGATATGCTTGAATTTGATGTCACATTTGTGATATGGGACAATTTTATGTGACGCCGATACACACGAAGATACACAGGCACACACACAATTTTATATATATGTATATATATATATATATATATATACATACATATATATATATATATATATATATATATATATATATATATATATATATATATATATATATATATATATACCTTTATTAAACCTTAAACCTTAGTTAAACCCAACTTGCTTCAGATGAACCTCGGTTAACGATTGATGTTTCGGTACCAGCATAGATATTGTATTAAGAATGTTAGGGGGCTTCAAATTAGAACCTTACAAGTGTGATGTACCATATCAATGTCTTGTGGCATGTTAGTGTGATAGCTGTCAAGAGTGTTAGACACATGAACTCACGGTGCAGACGAACAAGGTGACGTCATGGGGACAGTTTAAAGATGGATGTCCACTTTTTACATGCACCATGCAGGAGCAACGTTCAGTTATCCGTTTTGTTATCAGTGAATTTGTGAAACCTATAGAAACTCGTAAAGGAATGAAGGTCTAGGAAAGTGATCACTGTCTGTCAGTTTAGCAAGTGTACGAGTGAAGTAGGTAGTTCCAGAACGGCCTGACTGCTGTGAGAGGGTATGAGCAACGACTCCACAGTCGATTCCAGCCGTTTAAGGCCTAGTAGAGGTAAACCGTTGACGTCTTTGGCCTAGGCGTTGCGAACGCGCTTCCTAGTGCCGGGTTACCATGTTTGATCCCGGCTGCGGACAGTTTGTCTTTCGTTGGTTTCAAAAGTATTAACGAAAGCTGACCGTTTAGTATGCAGTGACAAATTAATGAACGTAACATTTGCCTCGGAAAACCACAACAGTCAAAAAATGCTAGTGTTGGTTCTACAACGTCCTGTGAAGAATACGCAACTAATTTTTTAACAGAAAAACCGCCAATTTACTGCGAAAGACATTGCCGCACATTCTGACCTCAGTCAAGATTCAGCACACCATATCATCCATGTTGTGCTTCAAAAATATATGCAAGGTTTCTGCAATAGCAGCTTACTCCAGAATTGTAACAGCCAGGCACAGATACCTTTCTTGAACCTTAGGGGTTCTAATGGGGCAGAAGGAGATGATTTCCTATCAAGAATTGTTAATGGAGGTGAATCAAGGATTCACTACTACGAGCTGGCCTCGAAGAGAGCGAGCATAGAACTGCGCCATCCATACTGACAGAAACCAAAGAAGTTCTCCCACGCAGCGATCTGCAGCAAATGTTATGCTGACTCTTTTGGGATAAACATTATTTTAGAGCACTATATACCTAGAGGGTAAACCGTCACCTGTGATACTTAAAATCTTCTTCGACTGGCAGTCAAATCCTAACGATTTGGACTTCTGAGTAAAGGTGTCCTTTTGCAACATGACATAGCTCTATCCCATATTGCCGGTGCAGTGGATAAAACCACAGAAGATCCCCACTTTCACCATATCGGATCAATCCAGGCGTGGACTCAATGAATGTCCACCTTTTTTAACAACTCAGAGATTTATGTTCAGTCGGATGAAGAGGTGCAGCAGATGGTGCATGGGAGGTTACACATACAACCAGGAGAATAGTATATAGTAAAAGAAATACTTGCTTGGGACAATTTTGTTCTCCTTGTGTTTAAAGGTACGGTTTTTTCAATGTTAAGTGAAGGTACCTGCTGGCCTGACAAAACCTGGGAGCTAGAGGGTTCCTAAGTTATTGTTGGGGCCCTCAGGTCTTCAACGCAACATGTATAGGGTTGCTACGCCGTACCCAATGACGTGGAAAGGATTCCTTGTCTTAACTTCAAGCACTCCTAGGAAAGCCAGTACCAGTAATAATTCACCACACATGTATCGTGCATGCTCACTAACCAAGTTTTACTATCGATTTCAGGAAAGCAATCAAAGCAACTGTTGTCCTACTCCCTCTGCTGGGAGTGGCAAACCTCTTGTTTCTAGCACAACCTGTGAAAGATGGAACCATCGTCATGTCGGTCTATAGGGTCATCAATGGGATATTGCCATCTTTGCAGGTGAGTTCTTCAGAAATCTGTCAAAATTCTATAACCGAATTAGCATCCAGGGGCATTAAATTATATTTATGGACCATTCTCATGCTTTGGTACTTAGTGAAACAATATAGCACCCAAACCCTTCCACGCCCCTCCCCCACCCCATATTTGATACATTAATTAAAATGTAAATAGTGTATATATGTATGTTCAGCATTGTCACTGTTTCCCCGAGTCGGCTCCTGGGTGGAATTTTGGGTAATAAGAATAGACCGACTGCCCCTTCACAAGCATGCTGTAAAAGCCGGGTGTTTCCTTCGAAGTGAGATTACACCTTCATGGGAGACGAGGAACCAACAGTCTGCATACAAATAATTGAGATCTGGAAAACGAAATGCCCTGCAAAACTAAATTTCTCGAACAAGGCCAAAGTTAGGAAGTAGATAAACAACCATAACTTTCCATCGGAGTTTACACCCGGTGAAAACAAAGAAAGAGGGAGCTATTTGACTAAGGTGTTTACTTTCCTAACATTATCTGGTATCCCTAAAACAGTTAGACGAAGTGATACAGAAAACAATAGTTCTTCGGGCACCGCGAAACAAAAGTTGTCTTCTCAGAAATAAGTTCATGATTATGGAGCCAAACACACAAGTCAGCTTTCACGAAGCAGACAAAAATCACAACGGAGAGAGGAAAATTTGACCAACCTAGTTTATATTGTCCATAGCCATGGTCATTGCTTATCTCTCTTAAACATCTTCCCATGTCTACATGTCATTTTCTGACAAGATAAATTCGTTCCAAGATAAATTTGCAGTTCACCTGTTGGTTAAGTCAGTTTTCATTTACTTGATTTCTATCAATATTATTCGTTTGTACATGGGTGTATGCATGTGCCTCTCTAAGCAGAGAATGATCTGTGGTCCTCTTAATTAGTTTTCTCATCATAACATAACATAACCCTTGACCCGTTAGGGTCGAGGACGCGTATCCATGGTAGCACTAGCACACACAACTCGCCATCTTTCTTAGCCTTTAGCTTGTTGAAAAAGTTGTAAAATAGTATATCTCTGTCCACTTCTTGAGTCTGTCATGACAGGTTATTTCCCCTTTCCCTCTTTCTTCTTCGACTACCGCCCCCCCCCCCCACCCCCCCCTCCCCCCAAAAAGTTGCATTGAAGTATACTCTTTGCAATCAAATCATGTGACACCAAGTGCACAAACCAAACTAGCCAAACGAGGCTACTGATGTCCTGCAAATTTATTTAATCTCTTTCAAATTTGTTAGTTCTATGTTCTCAATAGCTAATTCCTAAACTTCATTTATAGCGTTTTTGTTGGAAAGTCCTAATCCTCCATTATATTTCCTCAGTAAGAGTTCAACTTTCACATCCAATAAAAAAGGTAGAGAACACTGGTAATTTGTATATATACGAGCAGGTTACATTTATGCTGACATAGTATTCAACTGCCACATCACGGATGTTGCCATGTCAAGTGTTGTCGAGACCTTTCTGGTCATAACTCAACTCCCATAGAGAGTGCTGCAATCTATGACACAGGTATTCTCTTTCTCGCAATGAAAACGTAAACGCAAGACAACGCAGAAAGCAAACAACAGAGCGGCACACATCCGCTACCTTCAGGAAAGTCGACCAGCACAACAAACTTGTGAATGAAAAGGGACCTACTCTATTTGGGGAGATTAACGTGAACCAAACCTATTACGACTTAAACTCAAACAAGTTTACACGCAAGTTAAGACAAAGACAGCACGTTACAATGTTAACTTTTTAAGAGAAAAAGACATTGCCACTAAATTTATAGTAGAACTCAAGAATAGATTTCAAACCCTATCAAGTGACCCAGAAACTCCAACTACAATCAGCATTCAAGATACATGGAACCAGATCAAAGAAACATACAAATGAACTAGCAATAACATATTAGGAACCAGGAAACAACACCACAAAGAATGGATAAATAGTCAAACCATGGACTATATTGCCAAGCGAAAAAGAATAAAGAGCCTCATAAATCACACTAAATCAGAACGTCAGAAAGACAAACTAATGTTAGAATATAGCGAACTAAATAAAATGACCAAGAAAAGTGCCAGCGCTGACAAGAGAAGATTTATGGAAAATCTTGCAGAAACAGCAGAAAATGTTGCTAAAGCACATGATCTACAAACCCTACACAAAATTACCCAGCAAATTTGCGGAAACAGAAACAATTATCACAGCATACCCATCAGAGATAACAAAGGCAGACTGCTCACCACAGAACAAAAACAAGACGTGCAGTGGACTAAACACTTCTCCGACCTCTTGAACAGACCTGATCCTGAAAATCCCCCAGATATTCAGCCAGCCTCTCAGGACATTGACATTATTACTGAACCACCAAGCAAACAAGAAATCCTTAAAGCTATCCACACTTTAAAGAACAACAAAGCACCAGGCAAAGACGAACTGCCAGCAGAACTTCTCAAAGTAGATCCCAACACAACTGCTAGCATTCTAGAACCATTGTTCAGGGATATTTGGGAAAAGGAAGTGTTGCCCGATGACTGGACTGAGGGAACAATAGTTCAAAATCCCCAAAAAAGGAGACTTTACAGACTGAAATAATTGGAGGGGAATTACTCTACTCTCAGAACCAAGCAAAATATTTTGTAAAATCATCATAATACGGCTTGAAAAAGGAGTAGATAAATGCCTACGAGTGGAACAAGCAGGATTCAGAAAGGGCAACGGAACAACTGAGCACATCTTCGCCATACGTAACATTTTAGAACAATGCAACGAATGGCAGAGAAATATATATTAATTTTGTGGACTTTGAGAAAGCTTTTGACAGCGTCCATAGAGACGGTCTGTGGAAAATGTTAAGACATGGAATTCCTGAAAAAATAGTCAACATAAGTGCTCTCTTCTATAAAGACTTTTCCTGCAGTATAAAAAATTACAATACATCTCTACCAGTAAAGACGGGTGTAAGACAGGGATGTGTTATGTCATCTCTCCTCTTCAACCTTGTGATTGATTGGATACTAAAGAACACAGTAGACAGGACATTAAGAGGCATACGATGGACTCCATTCACCATGCTTGAGGACCTTGATTTTGCAGATGATATACCACTCCTATATCATAAACATAACCATATACAAGAGAAAAGTAACAGACTACATTGCACAGCAGAAATGGTGGGACTGAGAATAAATACAAAGAAAACTAAGATCATGACAAACAGTCTAAACCAACAACCAGTGACCATAAGTAACCAATCACTTGAAAATGTAGAACATTTCACATATCTTGGCAGTGTGGTGTCCCTACTTGGAGGGACATAGGAAGACATACAGTCACTTCTGAACAAAGCTAGAGCTGCTTTTGGAAGGATGAGGCAAATCTGGAAATCCAACAATTACTGCAGAGGAACGAAACTCCGACTCTACAAGAGCATCATTTTGCCAGTTCTTCTTTATGGAGCGGAATGCTGGAGAGTGACCAAAAAGGATGCACACAAGCTGTCCACCTTCCACCACACATGTCTACGTAGAATTATCAAAATTTTCTGGCCAGATACAATCTCAAACACTAAACTACTTCAAGCCACAAACCAAGAAACTTTAGACTGTATGATTACCAAGAGAAGATGGAAATGGTTTGGCCACGTTATGAGAATGACTTCTGATATACCTGCCAAAACAGCTCTCACATGGACACCAGAGGGAAAGAGAAAACAGGGTCGCCCAAAAACAACATGGAGACGAACGATGGAAAGTGACCTGAGTGCGGCATCTTTGACATGGGAAACTGCACTGAAGATTGCACAGGACAGGAAAGCATGGAAAGTCCTCTCTGAAGCCTCATGTGCCACTAGGCATAACGAGAACTGATGATGATGATGAAACCTACTATGTGAAGTGTGCTTAAGCAGAATTAATTCAGTGTTTGTGCTTCATTATATATAACGCTTAAAACGAGAATATTTTAATGTACCTGACAATAGATTGTGCTCCTAACTGTTTGTGTCCACATATTTTTATAATTCCTTGTAGTCTTTTCATTTTTTGTTCCAGGGCGTGTTTGTATCAGTTCTCTACTGCTTTATGAATTCAGAGGTAAGAGGCTACCACTTATTTACTGTTTATTATAGAAGGTTTTACGTCAGCAAACTGACAATTTCGTTTACAGTAAAAAGATAGCCGTTCATGATTACCGTCCTAAACACTCAAACAGCTATATCTTATAATGCATTTCGTGAGGCAGAAGTCATCATGTGTAAACATTCATGGGTGCAGAAAAACAAACAAGAAATATATATTTCTTAACACTGCGTCCAGATTATTTGCTAGTGATACTGTTTCTCTTCTATATAATGGGGATTTGTGACTCAGTTAACTGACTTATTTTGTAATGACTTAGTATACTTACTGATTCGACTGTTGTTCATTTTAATGATTTTTGATATATTTATTTTTTAAGTGAGTTTATGTAATGAATGATATGATGAATAGACGATGAGAGGCCGATTCAGACAAAGACAAAGAAGCAAAGAAAGTAAGCGAATAAAAAGAAATCCAGACATAATCCAAATGTCTTTGAGTGTGCAATCAACACTAGATCTAGTAAGTACTGGCTTTGCAGTGTAGGTAGCCTCCACTAGGGAGACCGAACTTGATAAACAGTCTGAGTACTGCATGTGTGCCCAGTAGATACAACAATAAAATGCAGAGATTGGATACAGACTTTCTTTCTGGTGGTTTGTTTTTCTTGTGGCATACTAACGAGGGCTAACGTGCCCAGTAGATACGGTACTAAAATGCAGAGATTGGATACAAACTTTCTTTCTGGCGGTTTGTTTTTTTATTTGGCAGACTAACGAGGGCTAACGTGCCCAGTAGACACGGTACTAAAATACAGAGATTGAATACAAACTTTCTTTCTGGCGGTTTGTTTTTCATGTGGCAGACTAACGAGGGCTAACGTGCCCAGTAGATACGGTACTAAAATACAGAGATTGGATACACACTTTCTTTCTGGCGGTTTGTTTTTCATGTGTCAGACTAACGAGGGCTTTTGTGCCCAGCTGTTGATGATGTGGCGACGATAATAATGAGTCATGTAATCTTTCATCGGCAGGTTCAGAACGTGATCAGGAAGAAGTGGAAACGGTTCCGAACCAACCGAGCAATGAACACACGGTCACGTCGGCAGGGATCCAGAACCTCGTCCTACTTCCTGTCTCAGAGTGATGCTCCCAAACGACTTACAAACTTGAACAGTACGTTTGTGTTTCATTCAAGTGTGTGCGTGGATGGGGTGTAAGATGTTGGCGTTGGTTACCCTGTTAAAAGAATAAAGCAGTGACAAGTAAAGTAAAATACCCTATCCCAAGCCATCAGTTGTGTCGCACATACAGAGCTAGACCTATATCGCACATACAGAGCTAGACCTATATCGCACATACAGAGCTAGACCTATATCGCTCATACAGAGCTAGACCTATATCGCACATACAGAGCTAGACCTATATCGCTCATACAGAGCTAGACCTATATCGCACATACAGAGCTAGACCTATATATCGGACCTATATCGCTCATACAGAGCTAGACCTATATCGCTCATACAGAGCTAGACCTATATCGCTCATACAGAGCTAGACCTATATCGCTCATACAGAGCTAGACCTATATCGCTCATACAGAGCTAGACCTATATCGCTCATACAGAGCTAGACCTATATCGCTCATACAGAGCTAGACCTATATCGCACATACAGAGCTAGACCTATATCGCACATACAGAGCTAGACATACAGAGCTAGACCTATATCGCACATACAGAGCTAGACCTATATCGCACATACAGAGCTAGACCTATATCGCACATACAGAGCTAGACCTATATCGCACATACAGAGCTAGACCTATATCGCTCATACAGAGCTAGACCTATATCGCACATACAGAGCTAGACCTATATCGCACATACAGAGCTAGACCTATATCGCTCATACAGAGCTAGACCTATATCGCACATACAGAGCTAGACCTATATCGCACATACAGAGCTAGACCTATATCGCACATACAAAGCTAGACCTATATTTCATAGACCACTCCGTACACTTAAAGTGATATGGTCATCATGACACAGCTGCCTTTACTTTCCAGAACTGAACTGTACCTGGTTCACTTTTAAGGCTGGGTCTAAACTCGTGACTTTCTAATTCACAGCCCAGCGTCTATAGTCAGTTCCAGAAAGTTCTAAAATCTGTACCACAGTAATCGTTCAGTGTAATTTGTGACATTTGACATGTAAACTTGTGACATTTGACATGCAGCCTCTAAAACTTTCCCCGTGCGATGTTATTTTCAAAAACACATCTAGTTTTTATTTTGCATTTTTACGGTAAATGATAAACAGATATTCATTCAAAGAAATGTGCATGCTTACGGTATCTTGGGTAAACTGATAAAGGGGCACTCTTCAAAACTTAAAATTACACGCGTTTCATAGGGGTTATACACTCTGGTGGACAGCTACAGCAACCGTCTCCTGTGAATTGCGGATTTATCATAAACTGGGAGATAGCTATCGAAATAATCACCACACATGGCCGCACATGTGAAATGATATCCAAACTATCTCCACACTTATGTCAAGTACTGTATATTTTATCTTTCGCGGTCCACATAATATTAGCCAAACAAAGATGAAAGCAGCACTTGTGTCATTGCTAATGATACAATCATATGGATATGGGTAATATAAGATCCTCTTCTTGTTCTTCTTCAGCATTCCGATCCCTTGAGGTTCATTGCAGCAGATATCGCCCGCCTATTATAACTTAATGCTTTGAGTTTTCTAGTTTCGTCTTTTTTAGGACGAATTTTTTTGTCATTTGAAGCCCTACCCTGGTTTTGCCAGGGGCCGCAATATAGGCAGGCCATAAATATGGCCAATTGTCTGAACGCGGTTTCTGGGACCTCTCCACGGAGATCCTCATCCACATGGTGGCACTTTGTGTCATCGGGTGTTTATCGCTTGTGTGATGTCCTAGTGGTGTAGAAAGTCAAGTCATCGCCCGCCTCCATTCATTCCTCTGTTTAGCCTTCTCTTTCTTGTTGGTAACAGCAAGTGTCTGCAGGTCTATCTGGATAGTATCTTTCCATCGTCTTCGTTGTCTACGACCATTCATCTCCCTGGTGAATACAGATTTTACTTCTCTGTCATCTGACATTCTTTCAATATGCCGCAACCATTTCAGACTATTAGCTCTTATGATGCCAGTGGTCGGTGGTGATTTAAACAGATTATGAATTTTGTTGTTGCTTCTCATTCTCCATTCACCGCTGTTAGCATCTTTGATTGGTTTAAAGATTCGTCTTAAGACTCTGTTTCCGAAAACCTGTAATAAGGCTTCATCTCTTTTAGTTGTGATCCAAGTTTCACAGCCAAAAAACACGACTGGTCTTATTAACATAATGTAAGACCACATGCACAAATCCGTGTTGATCTGTACAGAAGGCATGAGATTCGAAACACATTATAGACGCTACAAAAAAGTGCCTTGAAGAAGTTTATAAGACTGAGTTGTAAATCATGAGTCAGAGATGTTGACCTTTAGTTGCACTGACTGCTTCCTTTCTTCCGATCTGCATGTTCTTGTCGTCTGCTACATTTAGGTCTCATTACATTAAAGAATGTCAGAATCACATCATGAATGGCAAATTTGCAGAGCAAACACGAGATAACCCCTTCTTTTTTTTTCTGTTTCTTCTTCTTCTTCTTCTTCTTCTTCTTCTTCTTCTTCTTCTTCTTCTTCTTCTTCTTCTTCTTCTTCTTCTTCTTCTTCTTCTTCTTCTTCTTCTTCTTCTTCTTCTTCTTCTTCTTCTTCTTCTTCTTCTTCTTCTTCTTCTTCTGCCTCTGCTTATACGTTCTTCCGAGGATGTAGATGCGTTGTGCCCGCTAACAACAGGGCTGCAATTTTTGCTTTTTTTTCAGTCGACACATCTGACCTCTGCAGAAATTTTATGCCTGGGTTAGCCTGAAATACCCCGTTCAATCTTTAAAAAAAAAATACAACAGCACTTTGATCACTCGTGACGGTTACAAAATCTTCACGGAGCTTGTAGTCATCAACAGCTAGAAAGTCTATACTACTAATAACAACGTTCTGTTTTTTTTTTTTTTTTTTTAAAACACCGCCAGTGAATTCCAGTGGAAGGTCCCGGTTAATCGTCCGCTTGGACTTTTGGCTATCACCTGGACCTGATTTTTGCGTGTACAACCGTTTTTCATTTCCCTGCCTCATGGGCAGCTGTAGTCTGACTTCGAAGGAAGACGTCAGGCCTATTTCTAGGTTGACTGTGGCCATTGTTTTGTGTGGGTCGAGACGTTGCCTGATTTGTGTGGTGTCCACTTTGTCTCCTTCTCCGCAGGTATTGCCCTCGGAGTACCCCTTTGGGGCAGCCCCCTGTGGAACAGTTAGCCCTCAAGGGAAGGCAGGGGCAGATCATGGGCATTCCCCGCCATCCAAGCAGGCTTCCATGCATGCAGAGCCGGCACATGGCGCTCTGGTTCTGGGCTCACCCAAGGAATCGTCACGTCCTGCACATGCCTGCTTAACCTCACAACCGTATCAGGCCTCCCGCTCGACAGGGGCTGCGCCCTCTGGAAGTCAGCGGGGAGTAGCCCGTGGGTTTTGGACTTTTGTGACCGTACAACCAGGACCAGGACTGACGCCCGAGTGACGTACGGAGTATCTCCTTATACACATCATGTTGGACTTAACTTCCCCTCACGCCTGTGACAAATATCACCGCGCCACAATGTTCTGTTTTATGGGTGTGGGTTGAGTTGTATTCATGGTATAACAGATCAGGTCACAGCTCAGGTTTCTGCTGAAAAGGCAGCATATTTGGACCCTGCAAAAGAACAGTAGGATCCTAAGCAGAAACCGACGGTTTTACACTTTTCACAAATCAATATAATAGATGCAATCTACAACATTATTCAAAAGTGTGACTTGTTTTCTATGAAGAACAGTCTTCTGACTTTATCTATCCTTCAGTCAATCAGCACGTACTTTACAGAATATCGCTGTCTTCACTGCAAGTGTAAAAATCTATTTTTCTGTAGTCGTTTCTCCAGCCCTGTGTGCTTTCAGAGCCAATGCATCTTCGTGTCCTGTATCCACTTTCGCGGATGCGGCCACTGTCTCTTTTGGGGAAAACTCCACTCGCCATCACCGTTATCTGCAGACAAACATGGCACATTTCCAAAATCTCTCAGCGATCAGGAGAGGATAAATCGCCAATGTTTCAGTTGTTAGTTTCGTATCCTTTTACAGGACTTTGCAGAACCAACCCCAGCATTTTTAGGCTGTTGTAGTTTTCCTAGGCAGGTTCACGTCCAGTAGTTTGCCATTGCTTTCTGGACGGTTGGCTTCTCGATACCACTTTCGAAACCAAAGCAAGGCGCAAGGCCCGCAACTGGGATCGAACCTGCAACCCCGGCATTACAAAGCGCTATCGAAACGCTTGAGCCAAAGACGCTGACAAATAGCCAATACATGTCATTATTATTAGTATCAAAGATTCGCTCAAACTTGGTCTTTGCTCCCAGGTCGACCCAGCGTTAATATATGTACCAGGAGACGTCATGAGAGGTGATCACGGTCGAGATAAAATTGAGCACAACACACATCTTGTGCCTATTGATTTCTAACAGCGATTGCCAACCACTGCAGGTAGAGCCCTATCAGATACGCGTTTATGATCCTTACGTCCTCTGTAGGATGTAATTTTTGGTTATTTGAAGCCCCACTCTGGCTTTTGCCAGGGGCCGCAATATAGGCAGGCCATAAATATGGCCAATTGTGTGAACGCGGTTTCTGGGACCTCTCCACCGTGATCCTCACCCACATGGTGGCACTTTGGGTCATCGGGTGTTTATCGCTTGTGTGATCTCCTAGTAGGGTAGAAAGTCAGTCAGATACGCGTAATATTCGTCTAGTTTCGTCCTTTTTAGGATGACATTTTTTGTTATTTGAAGCCCTACCCTGGCTTTTGCCAGGGGCCGCAATATAGGCAGGCCATTAATATGGCCAATTGTCTGAACGCGGTTTCTGGAACCTCTCCACGGCGATCCTCATCCACATGATGGCACTTTGTGTCATCGGGTGTTTATCGCTTGTGTGATGTCCTAGTGCGTAGAAAGTCAGTCAGTCATCGGATACGCGTGAACTTCATAGGAGCTTTACGGTCGCTCCAGAAAAAGAGGGGGAAAAAAACTAATTCAAAGTTTGACAACA